CTTTGAAGATAAATTTTCTCCGGTTGCTCGATTTGAAACTGTAAGAATTTTTTTAGCCTTGGCTGCTCAGTTTAATTGGTTAGTCTATCAATTTATGTTAAATCTACCTTTTTGAATGGTGAATTGGAAGAAGAAGTTTATGTCACACAGCCTGGAGGTTTTATAATCAATGGCAATGAGAAAAATGTGTACAAATTAAAAAAGGCTCTCTATGGGTTAAAACAGGTGTCTCGAGCTTAGTACACCAAAATCAACTCTTATTTTCAGCAAAATGGTTTTGAAAGGAGCACAAATGAGCCTGCTCTCTACTTAAAAAAGAAAGGTACCAGTGAATTTATTATTGTGTGCCTTTATGTTGATGATATAATTTATATGGGGTATAATAAATATCTCATTGCTGAATTTAAAGATTGTATGATGAGGAAGTTTGAAATGATAAACTTAGAATTATTGCATTATTTTCTTGGGTTAGAAACGCATCAAAGTAAAAGTAGAATTTTTATTGCACAAAGGAAGTTTGCAATCAACTTTATCAAAAAATTTAGCATGATTGACTGTAAAGTGGCTGCCACTCCCATGAATGTAAGTGAGAAGCTGCAAGTTGAAGATAGAACTGAAAAAGGAGATGCTGGTCATTATAGAAGTCTAGTAGGAGGTCTAATTTATCTAACTCACACTAGACCAGATATAGCATTTTCTGTTGGGTTGTTTACAAGATGCACTCTCCTACAAAACATCATTATGGAGCAATGAATAGAATTCTGCGGTATATTGCTGGAATAACTGAGTATGGGATTTGGTATTCTAAGAATTCAAAATACAAGTTATTTGGGTACACAGATAGTGATTGGGGAGGCTGTTTAAATGACAGAAAAAACACATTAGGAAATATGTTTTCTCTTGGGTCTGGAGCTGTTTTATGGAGTTCAAAGAAGCAGACAACTATAGCTCTTTCCTCTGCAGAGGCATAATATGTTGCTGCTACTTCCACCGCATGTCAAGTGATTTAGTTAAAGAGATTACTTGTAGATTTTGGTCAAGAACATAGAGTGCAACAAAAATTTTCTGTGATAATAGTGCTGCAATCACAATGGCCAAGAACCCAGCTTTCCATGGAAGAACAAAACACATAGATTTACGTCATCACTTCATCTGTGATTTGGTCACAAGTGGGGCAATCACTCTAAAATTTTGCAACACAAATGAGCAAGTGACTGATATATTTACCAAGACACTTTCCTATGAGAAATGTGTTTATTTTATATCTAAGCTTGATGTATGTAATTTTGAATCAAGGGGAAAATGTTGAAGAATAATTCAAAATTACAGTTAAATATATTTTACTTAGTTGGATAAGTTGTGATCAGTTTTTTCCTATTTATTAGGTATGTAACTCTTAGTTATGTAGTAGGTATAGTGGTAGAAGTTATGAACTGATTTTCAGCACAACACTTTCTTTGTAAGCCTATAAATAGGCATTATCCCTTTGTTGATAGGTATGCAGAAAAATTTTTTCAATATTCTGAAAAATCGTTTATGTTATTTTTACTTGTTTTGTTGGTTTGTTCTTATTTTCCAACAAAGGTGTGCATCAGTACGTGTTTTACATTAAATACAAATTTGTAAATTAAAAAATTATATTTTTGTATATATATTTTTTTAATTTTAAAATTAATCTCGAGCTAAATTTCGAGTATGGATATTACAGTTTAATTCTAGACTGATAAATGCTCCTATATATTGACAAAAAATAAGTCACCAAATTTTAAAAATTATCATTAAAATTGTTTAATTTTTTTAACTAATTGTATTAAAAATTTAAACTTTAAGAAAGCTTTGTATTTTAAGCCACAAAATTATGTAATAAGTAACAATTATATTTCTCAAACTTTATAACAATTTATGATATTAATTTCATAAATAATTAGAATTAAATAATTAGATGAAAGTATACCTATTGAAAAAAAAAGATAAGGACCTAATAGTACCATTATTAATATTTAAAACTATATAAAACTGACATAAAGTTGGAAATGTTTCTATTCTAGTTTAGGCAAAAAGTTTAAATGGGTTTTAAAAAAGCCAAAATAAAAAAAAAATCAATTCGTTTATAAAAGAAAGTCTGATCCTTTTCGGTTCATATTTGATCAAACTAAAAAATATTAGTCTGGCTTGTCTGAAATAAAAATTAAAAAAAACCAGATTGTTAAACTCTAATCCAAAATTATATGATGTTAGGAAGAATTGTTCAAAATGTATATAAAATAATATAAATTTTCATACTTGATTGATCTAGAATTATATTTACTAACAAGGTGATACGAGGAAGGAGAAGAGTAAGTGATGTGTTATATTTTTATCTTAAATTTAATATTCTTATTATTTAAATTTATAATAAATTGAAATGAATTGAGTTAAAAATTAATTTATGAGTTAAATTTTTTTATATAGATTGAATTGTTGAAAAAATTGGGAAAAAGAGGCTGAAAAAGAGGGGAAAAAAAGAGGAAGAAGGCCAAAAGCTAGACTGGAGTATCCAAGCCTAGATCAGCAGAAATCACGCCCAACACCACTTGATCAAAACTGTTAAAAATTAATTTGTAAATTAGAATATAATTAATTAGTTTGTTAGTTGTTGAACTTCATAAATTAGAGTATCTATATATCTTCACTAGTAGTTGTAATAGTGCCTATAAATAGGCATGTACTTGAAGTTTTTTTGCAAGAACTACAATAGAAAATCTTGAGTTTTCTCATTAGTCTCTCTAACCTCTTCCTCATATCTCTAACAAAGTGGTATCAGAGCTTCTTTTTTTTGTTAGAATTCTAAAGATGGCTAGCAATAATCTATTTTCTTTTCAATTTTCTCATCTTACAAAAGAAAACTATGAGAGTTAGTGTCTTTGTATGAAAGTCATACTTGGCTCACAAGATGTGTGGGATATCCGAAGATGAAGGATCCTTAACTCAAAATGAGAAGGATGTTTTTACAAGAACAAAGAAGAAGGATCAACAAGCTCCTGCACTCATCTATCCAAGTTTGGATGAATCTATGTTTCTAAAGGTGGCTGATGCTACCAACGCAAAGCAAGCTTGGGAGATTTTGAAGAATTCCCTCCAAGGAGTTGACAAGGTGAAGAAGGTACGACTCCAAACTTTATGAGGTGAGTTTGAAGCTTTGCAAATGAAGGATGTTGAATCCATTTCAGATTTTTGCTCAAGGGTACAGTCTATAGTAAGCCAAACGAGGAGATTTGGTGAGACGATGGAAGATGTTCACGTGGTGCAGAAAATTCTTTGATCGTTGCACCAAAATTCGACTATGTGGTTTGTGCCATTGAAGAATCAAAGGACCTAGACATTTTGACATTTGAACAATTAGAGGGATCTCTACAAGCTCATGAAGAAAAAATAAAAAGAAGACAAGAAGAGCCTTTAGAACAAGTTCTCAAATCAAAGGCATCTTTGAATGATGGTGGAAAGCAAAGAGGACGAGGAAGAGGTAGAGGTCTTGGTCGTGGTCGTGGTCGTGGTCAAGCATTTAAAAGAAATGAAACTCAAGATGATGTCGATAATGAAGACAAAAGTCAACCATCAAATAGAGGTCGTGAAAGAGGAAGAGGAAGAGGAAGAGGTAACTATAGAAATTTTAACAAATCAAATATTGAATGTTACAATTGTCATAAATATGGACATTATGCTTGGAAATGTTGTAACATTTTAAACGAGAAGAAGGAACAAGCTAACTTTGTCAATGATAAACAAGATGAGGAAGAAACAACTTTATTGCTAACATGTAAAGAGGGAAATAGTGATACACATAATTCATGGTACTTGGATAATGGAGCAAGCAATCACATGTGTAGCAATAAAGAATAATTTGTGGAGCTTGATGAGAAGATTAATGATAATGTTTCTTTTGGAGACTCTTCAAAAGTTCAAATTCAAAGGAAAGGTATAATTCTAATCTCTTAAAAAAATGGTGGGCATGTACTTATTATTGATGTTTACTATGTGCCAAAGTTAAGAAGTAATATTTTGAGTTTGGGCCACCTTCTTGAAAATGGATATGAAATTCATATAAAAGATTATTGTCTTTAGCTTAGATATCAAAGTGCTAATTTGATTGCTAAGGTGCACATGTCAAAGAATAGAATGTTTATCTTGAATCTCAAAACTATTGAAGCAAGATGTTTAAAGGCTAGTATGGAAGATGAAGCATGGTGTTGGCATATGAGATTTGGCCATTTGAAATTTAGCGCACTAAAGGCAATGGGAGAAGAAAAAATGGTGAGAGGGATGCCATTAATCAACCATCCTAATCAATTATGTGAAGCATGTCTACTTGGAAAAGCATTCAAGAACGAGTTTCCCAAAAGAAGCTACTACAAGAGCAACCAAGCTACTTCAACTTGTGTATGCCGATGTGTGTGGGCCAATCAATCCACTCTCATTTGGTAAAAACAAAGATTTTCTACTATTTATTAATGATTTTCGTAGGAAGACTTGGGTATATTTTTTAAAGCAAAAATCAGATGCTTTTGTTGCTTTTAAAAATTTTAAAACTCTTGAAGAAAAAGATTGTGATTGTAAAATAAAGTATTTGAGAACAGATAGAGGAGGTGAATTTACTTCCAAAGAATTCCATGATTTCTGTGAATCTAATGGAATTCCTCGCCCTTTAATGATTTCAAGATCATCACAACAAATGTAACAACCCTGAAAATTCCAAAGGAAATAAATTATAAATTAAGTGCGGAAGTGAAATAAGTAATTAGGGTTTA